CGCTGCTGGGGCTCCAGACTGGGGGGGGGGGGGGGGGGGGGGGGGGGCGGGCGCTGGGCGGGCTGGGACAGAGGAAACAGGCCAATGGCAGCGCGGCAGGTTGAGGACACGCCTATCAAAGGCTGCCTGCTCCTTATTCCCGCCTCCCGGCTCCCGTCCATCATGGCCTGCGCTTCGCCCATAGGCCGGCTTGTCTTCGTGCTCTTGGGTGGCCAATCACCTCCCGGGACGGGAGGGCGCGCGGGGCCACGTGTCCCTGCGTGACGGGAGACGAGAGGGAGAGCCGGGGGTCAAGGATCGAACCCGGCACAAGATGGCGGCGGCGCGTCGGAGGCGGTGAGGAGCGTGGGGCAGAGCTCGGCCCTGCTCCGGCGGCCCCCTCCCCCCACCTAACACCTCGGGAAACGGCCCCAGGAAGGGCCCGTGGGGGTGGGGCGAGGGGCGGCCGAGGCTGCCCCGGGGTGGGAGTGGGGCGGGGGAACGGGGCTGCGACTCGTGGGGGCCGGACCTGAGCTGAGGCCGGAGTCCGGGGTGGGGTGGGGGGGGATGGCCCTGGGGTGCCCTGCGCCTTCCCGGCGGGCCCTGCGCCTTCCCGGCGGGCCTCGAGGGGCCACCGTGGCTGGCCTGAGAACCGTGGTGATAGCCAGCGAGTGTAGACACCCCCAGAGCCACCTACCCCCTTCTCTGGGCCGGCCCCTTTGATCATCACCGACCCTGAGAGGGGATGCAGATGAGGAAATCGAGGCACAGCGAGGTCTGGCGACTTAGCCAGGGTCACCCCAGCTAGGGAGCATCTGAGGCTGGATTTGAACTCAGGGCTTCCTGCCTGCAGGCCCATCAGCTGCCTCATCTGCAAATTGGGGCCAGAGATGGTTTTTGAATGGGAGCTTATGTAACCCCAGAGTAGATGCACCTGAGCTGTTGCTCCCCTGGGGTCTGGTGAAAGTGGGGTGTGGAGAGCCAGGCTTGGGCCCTGCTCTGGGGCCTGGGGGCCTTGCCTGGACCCCTGGTTCTGTTACGTTGACTTTCTGGTTCTGTACCATCCAGAGCAGAGGGGCCGCTTAGCCCTTTGTGTACCCGATGCCAAAGGGAGTGGGCCACTTGTAACAGGCCTTTGGGGACCCCTTTGGGGGTCCAGCTGGGCGTTCTGTAAAACTTCACGTTTTACCTGTGGTTTATGGTGACGGAGAACAGCACAGTGGCAGGTAGCAGAAAGCCTGGCTTTGAATCCAGCCAACCCGAGATGAGCTGACCAGAGTGACCCGGCCTGTCTGGGGGTGGTTGGCTTGGATGCCTGCCCCCCAGGAATGTTTGTCACCAGCCCAGGCGCCCCTGGATTAGGGTTAGGGACGTGTTGGGTAGAAAGGCTTCCCTTGGGAACACTTACTGCTGATCCTTCCCTGGAGACACTGATGTAACCTGAGTCAACATCAGAACAAAAGATCACGAACCTCTTCCCTCCCGTGTGGGAGAGGGAGCCCCCGATGTGCATGCCCTACCCTGCCCTGCCCTGCCCTCTTCTGCTGCGATCTAGGCTTGGGCAGCGTTTCCCACCTGTCTCCTTACCCTTGGCTTTCAGTAAGCTTTCCCCTGCAATTCAGTAGGTAAAGAAATAAGTTTTAGTTATCCATATAATGTAGGAAATAAAACAGATGAATTAGTTCCAACAGGATAATGCAGCTTTTTGCCAGATGTTTTCTGGACATCGTGGGTCACTTTATTTGCCAGGTTGTGGACCTCTGGTCTGGGGTCATTGAAAGGGTGTGAATTGCTGGCCTCTTGCTTGCTCCCCTCTGAATGTGCTGAGCACTTCCTCATTTTCTTTCTCAGGTCCTGGGCAGAGTTAGCCCTGGCTTGTGTCGGGCTCTGCCTTTCGACAGCCTTTGCCGTGGACAGAAGCAACTTCAAGACCTGTGACCAGAGTTCTTTCTGCAAGTATGGAGTTTGAGGGGGCCCGGGGAGAAAAATAATGGAGAAGGCCCTGGTGGCGTCTGGGAAGTGCCCCTGCCAAACATGGGGACCTGAGGAGACTTCCAAACTGTCTTTTCTGCGCAGGCGTCAGCGTAGCATTCAGCCTGGCTCATCCCCTTACCGTGCCCTCCTGGACTCTCTAGAACTTGCCCCTGATGCCCTCACAGTCCAGCTGGTCAATGAAGTCACCAAGGTCAGAGGTGGTATGAAGGGACAGGTCTGGAAGAACCTGACAGGAGTGGGGGCAAAGGGGGGTGGGATGGAGGGTGTCAGTGTGAGTCCTCTGGGGGAGAGACCCCCACAGGGAGCATGGGGCAGGGCTGGTCCTCACCTCCATCCCGTGCAGGTGGTGTTGCTGTTGGAGCTGCAAGGACTGCAGGGGAACATGACCCGGATTCGGATCGATGAGCTCAAACCCCTCCGCCCGCGTTACCGGGTGCCCGATGTCTTGGTGGCAGATCCCCCCACGGCTCGGTAATTCTGTGGGGGTCTGTGTCCCTCTTCAAACCTTCATCTCCCCCCCGCCACACACACACACTCACACCTTTCTTCTTTACTGCTTCCTCTTGGTGCTGTCCTTAGGCTGTCCATCTCTGGCCGAGACGAGAACAGCGTGGAGCTGACTGTGGCCGAGGGGCCCTACAAAATCATCCTGACGGGAAGGCCCTTCCGACTGGACCTGCTGGAGAACCGAAGCCTTGTGCTCAGTGTCAATGCCCGGGGACTCATGGTCTTTGAGCACCAGAGGCTCCCCAGGAATTCGTGAGTAAAGGGATGGGAAGCTACCAGAAAGGGCTGAAAGGTGGCCTGTGCGAGAGTCTGGGCCCCTGGGGTTTCTTGGGGAGGGATGGAGGAGACGGGGAGATGGGGGGGGGTTGAGAATCTTCGGGGAAATGCGCGCTGGCCAGGAGACTGTCCCTGCCCTTCCTGGGCTCGAAGTTACTTCACCCCTCTCCTGGAGCTGTCTTGTTTCCCAGATTTATTTTTCCCCCTTTTTTTTAAAAAAATAAATTTTTTTGGTTTGTTTGGTTTTTCCGTCTCTGGATGTTCGTCGACTGAAACTCACTTTTGTGTTTCTGTTTTTGTGTTGGTTTTGTGCCTCCTTCCCCTGCCCCTCTGCCCTCCCCTTCCTTTCCCCTCTCCTCCTGCCCCAGTTTCTCGGATAAAGTTAGTCTCACGTTCGGTAGCATATGGGATAAGATCAAGAACCTTTTCTCTAGGTAAATCCACAGCCACTGGTACTGTATCTGTTCCTTAACCCCTGCCCCTCCGTCCCGTCCTCCTCTGCCCTGCACCCCACGTGAACACGCACACACACATACACATGCACGGTCCCTACCTCAGCCCCCTTCTGTTCCAGGAAGGCTGGGAAGTGCTGGGAACCTGGGGCCAGGAAATGGAATGCTGGGAGTTCTGTCCTCTCTGCTTCAGGCAAGATGGAGCAGGAGTTGGTCAGGGTGTCCCCCCAGCCGCTGTTTAGATCCCTCCAGGAGGATCTTTAGAGGCCCCCTGACCATGACCCTTCACCTTTGCACTGCTCCCATCCTACAGAAGGGCAAAGGGAGGCCCGGGGAGGGGAGTCAATAACAGCCAGGTTTGTGCTTCTGTTCAGCTGCCCCCTTCCCTCCTTTTCCTCTTTCCCAGTGCTCTACATTGGCCTGTATGGACACGTAAAAAGCACATCACTTGTTTCCCTTGGTCATTTCTCTCCTTCCCTCCCTCCCTCCTTCCCTCATTTTCACCTCTCGGCACACTCCCAGCCCTGCCTTTGTATGAGGACATGCTCCCTGGGGATGCACTCTGTGACTGAGTGAAGCTCAGGCCCTCTGCTCCTTTGGCCCTTGGAGTGCTACTCCTTCCTCGTCCCCGTGCTCCCCCCAGCCCCCAAACAAACAAAATCAAAACCAAAAACCTTCATCCCCTCTCCCCTTGGACTGGAGCAGACGACTCTCCTCCCTTCCAGGCAGGGACCAACGGAACCAGCTGAGGGGGATGGAACCCCCGATGAGGAGGCTGCTGGGAAAGCAGACAAGGTGAGGCAAGGGGCGAGCCTCAGCTCTGACTGAGGGGTCTGGACAGAACTGAGGCCACTTGATTGGCCTGGCATCCCCTTTCTTCCTCTTGCAGCCAGAGGAGAACAAAGAAAAGGATGACAGTGATGAGCCGGGGGCCTGGGAGGAGATGTTCAAAACCCACTCGGACAGCAAGCCTTATGGTGAGGAGGAAAGAGGTGTTTAGAAGGGGACCTGAGCGAGTGGGAGAGAGGCACTGAGTGGGTGGGCAGGAAGGCCTTCCCTTGACTCCTGACTTCCTGCCTCCTTTTACAGGCCCCACATCAGTGGGTCTGGATTTCTCTTTGCCTGGAATGGAACATGTGTATGGAATCCCAGAGCATGCAGACAACCTGAGACTCAAAGTCACTGAGTGAGTCGTGAGCAGAGAGAGGGGAGCGGGGAAGGCAAGGGAGGAAGTGTGCCCATCCTGAGGCTGACAGAGCTCTGTCCTGGCCAGCTTCTCTCAAGAGGTCATCGCTCTGGGGCCTCGCTGCATCCTGGCCTGCTCTGGGGCAGCTCTGACGCTGTGGCCTTTGCAGGGGTGGGGAGCCGTATCGCCTCTACAACCTCGACGTGTTCCAGTATGAGCTCTACAACCCTATGGCCTTGTATGGCTCAGTACCCGTGCTCTTGGCCCACAACATCCACCGAGACCTTGGGATCTTCTGGCTCAATGCAGCGGAGACATGGGTTGATATATCCTCCAATACAGCAGGAAAGGTGAGGGGGAGACTATGTGACATCACCGGGTGACAGGAAACAACCACTTGAGGTCTACACAGTCTGGGCACGTAACACAGGGACGACTTGGTTGGGCCCAAAGGGAGTAGCTGAGACGTGTGATTCCTGGGTGGGAGGAAGAAGTCCACTTCTCATCCAGGCCCTCTGGCAGAGCCCGTCAGACCAACACTCTGGAAGGAGGTCCTGGACAGTTTTCTCTGGAGAATGATTACTCAGAGGGGAAGGTTTTTTTCCCTCCCTTGTGGGAATTGGTAGGCAGGGAATATCTAATTCCTGGTCCTCCTGGGACAGACGCTGTTTGGGAAGATGCTGGATTACCTGCAAGGTGGCGGGGAGACGCCCCAGACTGACGTGCGCTGGATGTCAGAGAGCGGCATTATTGACGTGTTCTTGCTCCTTGGGCCCACGGTCTCAGACATCTTCCGTCAGTACGCCAGTCTCACAGGTGTGGGCCTGCCTATCTTTAGCATCCTGGTTTAAGTACCAGAGCAGCAGCCC